CCAGGAAATAAAAGTGGTTTACAGTCAGTTGGAAGGAAAGCAGTAAAAAAAAAAAAAACCACCTAGGTAATCCTTAAACAGGTAGCCTGGCTCTGAATAAATCGAGAGGTGGTTTTGCATTAAAGAATTAGAAGTGTCATTTCCAACTGGTGATTTCTGCAAGCACTGCACTCTACTCAAGCTGAATTTTAAAAATGGATAAAGGAAGCCAGAATTAAATGGAGGCAAAGAGAGCGTCACCTATTCTGAATCACTTCCAAATCTCAGTGGCAAAATGAGATGTCAGTTTAAGCACAGCAATTTTCTAACCTCCCTGTACTGGGGAGGTACTGGCCATAAAAACTGAAGCAATTACACTTTGAGAAAAGTCAACTGATTAGCAAAAAGAATATGTTTATGTTGCAAAGTTAAACATCACATTAGCCTTTATGAAATACTTTGAAACTTATTAAAATATTCAAGCACACAAAATGTATTTTGAAGCCTTTTCCACTTAGGCATAGGTTAACATATCCCATGTGCCATTTGGTATTTTGAATACCATAAGAAATGAACTCCTTATAAAGTACTTGTAAAAAATTATCCCCAAAGTGCTTAAGTTTTTAAAAACACAAACAAAAATTAATTTAGCCCTAGAACATTCAAGAGAAACTATTTATGTTTTTCCCCAACCGCACTGCCAGAAACACCATGCTATTTGTGATAACCACTTTGTTTTCATGGAAGAAGCCAAATCTAATTTTATGAAAAGGAGATGTTACAGAGAAAAGAGAAGCTGAGGCTTCCTAGAAAAGGATAAGGCAGGAAAAGTTGTCATACTATGCCCCTACCATCAGACCACCAGAAACCAGAACTATGTTTGGAAGCCCCACTCCCCCCACACACACATTTTTTTTTTAATTTGCTACAGGATACATGCACTCAACAGAGGGTAGGAGAGGAGCAAGAACGCACCCCCTAGGGAGGATAACCATGACACAGTCCCTTCTACATTGAAGGGAAATTTTAGACTCACACAACATACTCTCCTGGCCTATTTCTCAAAACTGCCAGTCCAGGACTTGAACCATGTAGTTAGCCATGTGAGATCCAGTTGTTTTAATCACTGTGCCATCGAGCTGGCTCAGACTTGCTGCTTTTAAAAAGTTTTATTATGAAGTTTTTATACTTCCCTGCTTAAAGTATGAGTAGGCATAGAAACCAAAATGGAAGACATCCAAGTCATTTCATATCAAGCTGGAGAAATTCTAGGAGACCGTAATAAAGTTATGATTTGTCTACCTACCTTTCAGTAATGCAGTCTGAAGTGTGGCTTCCAACCATTCCAAAAAATAAAGCTAAGCAAATAACTTCATTTGCCATACAAATAAATCATAAGAGGTTTCAAGACTTACACAGTGAAGCTTAACAGTAGCTAATGATAACTATGTTTGGAAGGGGTTTGAGGCGGCCAATGAATCTTAACACTGTTATAGTGTAGACAAAATTTAAGTTGCCAATCTGCTTTTCAAGATTTTTGGCATGTGTCTCCCTTCTACAGAGAAATTATTCTTATGTTTGCATCTAATTAATAAAAAATCGCAGCTGGACCTTATTGGTTATTATCAAATGCACTTTATTGTTTTATACTCAAAACAAAAGGGAAAATGTGGTAGGTGACTAGTGTTTATGATAGTCTCCTCTATACGAAATGTCCTAACATAGAGGAGGTCAACATTCTATTTTCTCAAGTCTCTGGCTATATTTTGAAATAAAACACAGAGTTAAATAATACATTTGCTCTCTATTCCAGACTGGATGCAATTGATTTTAACTGACTAAATTATCTGATCTCTGCCAAGAATTTTATTTCATTAAGAAAATGATATTATGGAGCATCTGAGATCATAGAGCAGACTAAACATAATGCCAAAGGAGTTCTGAGAATGCTCCACAGTGAAGGTTTGATTATTTGCAGATGGAATATGAAAGAAGAAGAAGAAAAAAAAAAATCCGGTCCCAGAGTAAACCTAACCAATCCTGGTACAACTGCCGCCCACACTGTAGCACAAAACCAAGAAAATAATGGATCTTCTAAGCTACAACACCTTTTTTGTAGAGTACTAATCAGTTTTCTTCCCATAAAGTAATATTTAACTGCCACCACCCAAAACAAAGGGGCAAGGGTAATGTTGGTACCACAATAGGCTCTAGCATGTCAACTGTCACTGCTGACATAGTGTGGCTAGTAGTCAAGCACTCACCAAGGAACTCATTTAAATCAATCTTCTTTGGGAAAGCCCATTGTTTGGTAGGCACAACAATTGGTGGAGGATCAATCAGCGGACATGAGATCAATTAAAACCAGCTTAAGTTTGTGAAGAGGGACAATTCACAGGACTGGAGTTAGATCTCTATTCATTTCAATGCTCTTCACAATGCAATCCTTAAGCTTCCTTCCAAAGTGGAAAAGCTACTATCACCCTACACTGTCTAGCCAGCCCTTTAAGTAGTTCCACTTTTAATTAAAAACACAGTATACCCTTTGTTGGCACAGATAGTGTGGTCACTCTTAGGGACTGCAGTTATTTTAGCCAGAAACTTGGAAAGGGGGAAGAGACATCTGTTGAGAAAGGGGAAAAAACTATATATATATCCTCTCTTTCTAACTCTGTGTGTGTGTGTGTGTGTGTGTACACACACACACTTTATTTATGACCTTACCAATTTACATGTACTTGAAAACATTTGAATTTTATTCAATCGAAAGTTTGGCAAAAGTTACAATTGCACACTTTAAAGCTGGATTTCTATATGTCAGTGCTTGGTGATGTGGATGGTAATTGCTACAAGAGATTTTGCCAAAGCAAATCTTGACATAAAGAGATTCTGCCTGATACCTAAGAGGACTCAGGCAGGACCTTAAGAGATGGCATTGCGCAGAAAGGCATGCAGTAACGCTTCTGGCCACAGGAGTGCTGTAACGACGCTTTCCACCAAACTGCTCGCCTCTTAAGTTCCACTAAAAGGATAGGCTGGATTCTTCTCCACTCAACCACAATGGGACAGCTATTACTGAATTAGTAAGTCATCTAATAAGGAAAGGAAAATTTGGCAAAGGGTTGTAGATATTTCTCTATTTTGCAAACTTTAAGCACTTTAGTTTTGTCAACTAAGTAAATGCAGTTTCAGCGTATAAGAGGGGAGGGGAATGCCTCTGCAAACATTTTTGACCACAGCGTAATAAAAAATTGCCGGCTTTGCTGAATAGTACCTCGAAAGAAAATACTGGGGTGGAGAAAAGAGCCAGCTGGGAGGAGAGGGAGGTCGATGGAAACGGAGTTTTCCAAGGCACATATCAACGTCGAACTCTCATGGCCTCTGAGAAGTCTCTTCCTAGTATTTCAGATCATTTCTGAAAAGCAGCCAAATGTCAGAAATAAGAGGAGTGGGCTGCGGCGTGGAGGTGGGTGGGTGCATCCTTACCGGGGACAGTTGGAGAGCAGAGGCTATGGGAAGGGGGAAGGCAAACGCTATTGGTTACCTCCAGCTCTGGCTTTAAGGAGGTCAACGTCTAGCCCTTTCCTGGATGAGAACAGTTTCGTTCTATAAAATCAATAAAACCGGGCTTGAAAAGCCCTCTGCAAAATCTTGATACAGGAGGAGAGATTCCATGAGTCATAAACAATCATATCACAGGTCGAGTGAGACGTTTCCATCCTGGAAAACATCAAGGATGAGCCCAATTTCAACTGCACAGAAGTCCACACTGCCTGAGGAAGACAACTCTCATCAGGTGTCTGCAAGATGAGGCAGCTGCGCACCTGCCCTGCGCGGTGAACTTAAGGCATGGAGGGGTGTTGGGGTGGAGGCATGCGTGGTGGTTTACGTTTAAATCTCCCAGAAGAGATGCAATTGTGTCTAGTAGCACTTCCCTTAAAAGGCGATTGGATTAGCTTCAGCCCCAGCAAGACTCAGACCGATATATGCGCGCATTAAATCTAGTTCTCGGATACATTTCTGGAGGCTTCCACGCGCCTTCCCCGCTGCGCTCCTAAGTGATGCGGAAGGAGGGAGCGGCGGGTTAGAAAGCGCCAGC